GAGTTTTTGAAAATAATTCTTAAATATTAGCAACGAAATGGTTAATTCCGATAAAATTAACTGATTTGCAGGCTTATTATTGTACAAATATTTCCCGATATGCATGAGAAGTGCATAGTTTTTGAATGTCTTGCAGAAGCAGCAATTCTAGCAAAAAAATTAGACGTTTAATATTAAATATGAAGATAAAACTGTTTAAGAATTAGACCGAAACCTTTCATTAACTGTCGTTAAAGTCGGCCACGCTCTTACTTGACTGACTGTATATATATAATGAATGCATGTATATGATATAAAATTTATTGATTCCTTTGTCTATCAGACGACGCACAGACTGCTAGTTTGTCGACCCGCAGCGCTACCCAATACCTTGAACATATGCTGTACTTGATATCAGCACATCTTGAAATATGGTGAAAATGAAGAAAGCGACAGGTAGAAGCTTTTATAATGTATTCAACGGTAGTAACCTTAGTAATGTGAAAAATTTAATCAATGTAAAATATAGCAATATAAATTAAACTAGTAGGGCGCATGGCATAATGCCATAAGGCAAATTGCCGGAACTTCCCGTACCGTAATAATTGTTTAGAATAATTTCAAATAGATTATTTATTATAAATACATACTGTAAACTTACAAGTGCTTTTTAAATCAGGCGACTTAATTTGATTTTTTTTTTTTTTGATTTTTTTTTAAATTACGTAATTTTCTGTGAAAGCATTTTTTGCACACCGTCTACTCAAGCAAAATGTTTTTTTTAATTAATTTAATCGGATGATCCGTTTTTACACCTTTTGCGCTCCATACCTCCGGAACGGTAAAATGTGCCTTTTGCAAAAACGCCTCGAGATCGAGTACAAACCGAATAATTTTTCAATCATATAAATCGGTTATTCCAATTGTCGAGAATGTCGAGGACATTTGTTTGCAGGGCCGGTCCTTAGGGGGCGCCAAAACGAGTTTCGGAAATTAAATTTATAATATAATATTTATATTTTTTATATAAAATCTAAAATTATTTATATAAAATCAAGTATACATAATAAATTATAATAAACAATCGAACTTAATTAGGGATACGAAGACACAAAAAGCATTTATTCACATTTATTTTGCAATATGATATCAGTAGAAACAATTAACCGATTAATAACTCTGCAAAGTAGTAAATAACAGCTCTGTTCATTGCTTAATCTACTTATTCAATTTTTTCTTTGGTTGAATTTACCGTGGAATCGAAAAAAAAATTATCTAGTGTTCAATCCCATAAGCTCAAACCTGCGAAATATTAAATTAATTATTGGGCATTATTGACGAAAAATTGCGAGCTGATTTAGTTAAAACGGAACTTGTTAAAAAATATAAACAAATTATAATCGGGAAAATAAAAAATGGGGAGTCAGTGCTTAAAAAATTGCATGTTTATTCCGAGAAATTGAATTGTAACTTTTGCTTGTATTGCAAATATTTCGCTTCTGATGAATTTTGAATGTTGAAGACATGCATGGTTAGGGTTATGGAGATGGAGCAAATATGAAAAATAAAAGCAAAATGTACTTAGGAACAAAAATCTTTAAGATTGTTTTATACATAATTTAATTATTAACTATGCTGAAATAATACAGATACAAATATAATTTGATTGTTTCAATACAGTTTAGGGAATATGTAATTTCTTTGCATCTTTTACTAATTTTGGACAATACTTTAAAAATACGTTAAAAGTTTAACTTTAAAACAACAATCTGATACTTTGAATCTGATGGGAAAGTAAAGTTGAATACAATTCGGCTCTTACGATACCAATATGGAGAAGTTTACGATGCAATTTTGGATATTGTGAATAATGAAAAAATAAATTAAAATAAAATTTAATTTAAAACATAAAATACGAATGTTATGTTTAAAAATTAACGACAATTCTTTTTTTGCTCTTTTGGCGTGATTTGCTCTATAGAATAAATCGCGTAATAAATAAGTTAAATGTTTCAAAACCAAAATATTAATATTACATCTACGTTAGAAAAAATTGAAAATTTAAAAATATTTGATTATGATCAACCCGCGAATCGCCTCGATTTTCTAAATAAATTTAAAGTCAATGTATTTTATACGCTTTTAGATTACATGTAAATTTTTGTGTTAGTACACCAGAACATCCAGAATGATTAAAAATTAATTTAAAAAAATAAAGTAAATGTTTATATAATTTTAATGAAAATCTGATAAAACAGTTGAAATTATTGGGGGGGGGGGGCGCTAGAACAAATCTTGCATGCGCGCGCTGAGGACCCCAGGACCGGCCCTGTTTGTTTCAACCATATAAGTAAATTTTAAAATTAAAAATCTTGGTACGAAACACAAAAAAAATGACACAAAATGTGTACACATTAGTAAAATCTCTATAAAATATCTGATAATTTGATGTGCATATGTCCAATAAATATTTTTGACCGCCAAATAGCATTTTTTTATTCTCATTCCTCAAATTTTTAATTACGGTACGGGAAGTTCCAGCAATTTGCCTTAAGGCACGATGCTGTACACCACTGGTTTATTTTTTTATTGCCCTCGCCTATTTAGAGTATTTAGCCACCTATAACATTACATTTTTATATTCTATACTATTTTGTATACATATTCTGTACATGTTCATTTACAACTAAATTTTTCATTCTACTTTTTCTTCGAAATCTTATCTTCTCCATTGTAAATCTTTTTCTTCTTACTTCTAATTTTATTATAATTCAATTAAATGACAATTCTTATGTCAGCACAAGGACTCGAACCGAGTATCCCTGGCGTGTAAGTGGGGTATGCTGCGGACTGAGCTATTGCAGCCAAACGTTTTTGTTAAAAATAAAACATAATATATATGTTTAACGAGATGGCTTGTTATGGTAGTGTTTGATATAGTATGAAGTATAAGATCTTAATCATGTATAGGTAATCAAATTTATTGCAATATCAATTGAAATATATTTTATACTAAAAATTACTACTAAAACGCACTCTTCAAAATCTTTTTAAATTATTTTAATTTGCTTTGAAATTTATTACTTAACTATTAATTAAATATAGCTCGTGATTGGAAAATTTGATGAAAACTGATTAAACAATGTCAAAGCCCCGCGCTTATAATCAGAGCAATATCAAAACGTGTGGCGCCATGTCGACGTTACGTTCTCGTGTATGATCATTATCAGAAAACTCCTTCGTGTTTATAATATGTATGCAAATACGATAAATACTATAAAGAAAAGCTTATGTACCATAACTGTAGAAGCTTACGACGATGCTGACTGGTTAAATTGGACTTTCCAATTTTGATTTCATTATAACAAATGTATATTATATATATATATATATATATATATATATATATATATATATATATCTTATATATAAAAATGAATTGCAAAATGTGTTGGTAAGCGCATAACTCAACAAGGCCTGGACCAATTTAGCTAATTCTTTTTTTTTAAATGTTCGTTGAAGTCCTAAATCCTATATATATATATATATATATATATATATATATATATATTAGGGTGGTCCTTAATATGGACATTAATCTTAATATTAACTTTTAGGTAGTGCGCAATTCAATCAAACTTCGTATGGAAATAGCATGGAAAAAATTTTGAAAATTAAAAAAATAGTTTTAGGCATAACTTAGAAACAAATGAATTAAAAGTGAAAATCCGTGTCATTTTTTATTGAAAATTCGACACTCTGCAAAATTTTTGAAAAAAATTTCGTGCTATTTCATATTATTATGAGCTGAAACTCTCACAAGGAGAACCCGCGCATTGCTCGTCTGGGATTTTGATGAAATTTGGCACAATGGTAGATTTCATGCCCAAACTGACTCTGGTAAAATATTAGAGGCCTATGAAAAGCGGTTTAATTACAAAAATTAATTAAAGTTTGCATTTAAGCAGCGCACTGTACACCATCGGTACACATAGCATGGAGCGTTCTTTCTTATCAGCGGAAGATTGTCCGAGTGGTAACGTCGGCGAATTGTAATTTTTGCGTCTATGGTCGAGAGTTCGAATCCCACTTAAGGTTTTTATTTTTTTTTACTATTTTCATTTCATATTTATAACTGCATGAGTTAATAATATTAAAATTAATTCAAATTTTAAATTGATTTTATATTTTTCATTAAATTCTATAATAAAGTCCCCTTTTACGTGTATATAAATTTGATGTGATACCAGAAAAATTGATGTAAAACATTATAATTTCATATTAATAACAACAATAATAAGAGTGAAAAAAATATAATTTCCTTGCATATAAACGCTAATATAAGTTCTACAATTGACTGGATGATACTTATCGCAAAAACCAGATAAACATAAAAATAGCTTGCAGTTTATTTCTCCACACAGGTAAAGTTGTTTATTTAGAAAATAGAAAATTGTTGTCAAATCAGACAACAAGAAAAACAATTAACTAAAAAGAAAAAAACATTCGAGATACATTCTCTGATTCATCATCAGTTATCTGTGTATATTTTTCAAAAAATGATCCAATACGATTGGTTTGCAAGCAAATTGGCAAGTATTAGAATTTTTTAAGAAACCATCGCTAGTGCAAAATCTTTATGCAACACTGCCTAAATTTTTGAAATGTCCTCACTGAAAAATTTATTTTTTTGTTTGTTGTATTTTTAAGTATCATCCAGTCAATTGTAGAACTTATATTAGCGTTTATATGCAAAGAAATTATATTTTTTTCACTCTTATTATTGTTGTTATTAATATGAAATTATAATGTTTTACATCAATTTTTCTGGTATCACATCAAATTTATATACACGTAAAAGGGGACTTTATTATAGAATTTAATGAAAAATATAAAATCAATTTAAAATTTGAATTAATTTTAATATTATTAACTCATGCAGTTATAAATATGAAATGAAAATAGTAAAAAAAAATAAAAACCTTAAGTGGGATTCGAACTCTCGACCATAGACGCAAAAATTACAATTCGCCGACGTTACCACTCGGACAATCTCCCGCTGATAAGAAAGAACGCTCCATGCTATGTGTACCGATGGTGTACAGTGCGCTGCTTAAATGCAAACTTTAATTAATTTTTATAATTAAACCGCTTTTCATAGGCCTATAATATTTTACCAGAGTCAGTTTGGGCATGAAATCTACCATTGTGCCAAATTTCATCAAAATCCCAGACGAGCAATGCGCGGGTTCTCCTTGTCAGAGAATTGTTTTTTATCAATTTGGAACCATTTGAGCCCTTGGGAGCAAGGAAATGCGAAAATGTTCATATTAAGGATCACCCTAATATACAATATATATATAATACCGGTCAAAAGCTTGGGTCCACTTCACAATATTGATGAATTGTACAAGAATAAAAGAAATCACTATTTCTATTGCTTGTACATATAAGTAATTAAAGAAAATTGCACTTCTTCAATGGACTGGCAATGTGAATTTCATGTCGATTTGAGTCAAACCTTACTAAAAATATTTTTTATTCATTGACTAATAAGCTAATAAATAAGGTTGTTTTCATTCTATTGGTTTACATTCTCATAACCCCGATAGCGGCAAAGACGACCAAGGCTACGAAGGCGGCTTATGTCAAAGTTTTCTTTATTAGTTCAAAATGACGGCATTTACAGAGGATTTTGGATTCGGTACATATTGGAATCCGCAAATATCGAAGTTTTTATCCGCGTATATAAGAATTGAGTCGCAATTTTTTGGCCGCGAATAGCGAAAACGCAAATGAAGGAAGCGCGCATAAGGAACTTCTACTGTATTATATTTATTAACCTATTTAATAACTGTTTTTACAGTTTATCATTGAAACTAGTAGTGCATGGAATCTTGTCTTAAGGCAAATTGCTAAAACTTCTCATATCAAAAATTATTTTTTTAAAAGATTTTTTTTTAACTTTGAAAAAAAAACAGATTTTTGAGAACTTTGAAATTTTCGAAAAAAATACTTTTCGAGAAATATGACTTTTTTGAAAAGTTTAGAAAAAAACACAAAACGATCGATATAGATGTAGAAAACCAGAACAACAATTAGGTTTTTATTTTTTTATGAAATATCATATATAAAAGTTATGTTTTTAATCATTTAATATCCATAAAGATGCTTTCATACTTAAAATGTAAATGCGGAAGCTTGTACAAGCTTAATTTAACATTTCTTTTATTCTTACTTCATATCTTGAAATAAATTATGTCTCTCTTTGATGAGCAAAATTGTTTGGGTTCGTTTTCAAAACAAATGTAGTCGTTTAACCTAAATACTTATTAGAAGCTTTACTTGGTAAGCAAATTTCCATAATAATCATAAGATTTTATGCAGTGGGTATGTGTACAGAATCATCAGATAGGGTCGCTTGAGGGTTATTAATAATTCTTTTTATTATGAAGGATAAGTTTTTAATTTTATTATGTTACGTTTTCATTGAAAGGAGCACTATGCTAAATAAAGAATTTAATAACATTTATTATTATTTAGGTAGTATAAACAAATTGCACCCACGCAGCCAAAAGATCAGTAGACCTAATAAAGTTATTTATCATTCTTTTAAAAGACATTTTTTGGTAATTGCATATATATTCAATTTTAAATGTCTCCACATTAATCAAATACAATAAAAACGAATTTGTTTGTTTTGAGTTATCATTAATTGAAATATATCTACAAGTATAGTATTCCAGATTTAAAAAATGCTGAATTCTGAAAAGAACTCATATTACTGATAATCTGATAAAAATTCTGAAAGAAATGATTTTTTAAAAAAACTACTGAAGGTATTAAGCATTAATCCTATTACTCTTAAAATATTAGGTGTAGGATATCGAAAATCTCAATTTGAGATATCATTTGTTGGTAGATTCATGATTAAACTGAAATAAATATGTGCTAGAAATAGATATAAAAAACCCTAGAAATAGAATTAAAAAATGAAAAAATTGAAAATATTTCAAATATATTTTTATTTATCTCGTGGTTTCAATTTCAATAAATTACATATTTCTTGCAATAATTGTTTTTTAACAATATTATCGTCCATTATTTATTTAAGAAAAAAATTATTGCGAAGATTTACCGGGTGCGTTCATATTTATAACACTGAAGGAAATAATATATATTTAAATGATTTATGAATGTTTTTTTTCTGAAACAAATTCAATGAAAAATTTGTTATATGATAATAATTAAAAATTATTTATAAATATTAAAGTAATATAATAGAAAATCGTCAAATATTATAGACAAATCTAACGATGATATGTTACAGAAATATTACAAACTTGCTTCTAATATTAGTTCTAAAATTATGAGTATTAAAGTAGAAAATTTGGTATTTGCTACAATTCAACTTATTTTAAGGTTCTCTCAAAAGTAAAATATTTTAAAATGTATTCACGGCTAAGTGGTGTAGATAATTTATTATGTTTAGACGAAAACACGAAGAATAACACAAGATGTGACCCATTAAAATATTATTTATTACTGATAATATGTTTGTCACTATATGAGTTTAAAATTACTAAGCTATAATCATAATCATAAGCTATGAAGTAATAATGACGTTTATTTATTAACAAGTATAAAATTTATTTAAAAATGTATCTACAGTACTCGTAATAGTTATAGTATTTTATATAATAAATTATTAGAAGAAATATATATAAGGTCTGATCGTTTGTACATGCATTGATATATGAGAAATCAAACCAGAATTACCAAATAACGACAAAGATAATATATATATATATATATATATATATATATATATATATCAATATTAAAAATAATATTTAAATCGCTGAAAAAAATGTTTTCAAACACAACATAATTAATTTAACTTAGAATAAAAATGAATTAACAAACTCAGAAGAAGTACAAGAAGCGATACAACAATGCCCGATACAATCATAATTGTATTAGTATCTCTATGTCCTTGATTGGACTGATCTCGAGAGCTGTACAAAATAGATTCTCCGCTTTTTGCATTGTGCAGAATCTTACATTCATCCGAGTTATCTGCGGGATGTTCAATGTCAGAAATAATTTTATCTTCTTCGATAAATAGATCTAGAACTTCATGAGCTGACAGTACAGCCTCGCTTACTGTTTCCCCATTGAATATATAATCGCTAAAGCAGACCTTAGATTTTGAAGGAATCAACACCCGTCTTGGGGGTTCAGATATTAATATGCGATCTTCAACTGTATCGGTATCTAAAGAGTCGCAGCAAATTTGTATACGAGCTTGTAATGATCGCATTATGTCGCTCCTTATTGCGTTATGTGCATCAGACAATTTACAAGAATTATGCATCCACACGCTACTAGATACAATTCCAGAAAAACTAACAGAACCTGGCAATTTTACTACAGAATCTTTTCCTGACAAAAGTTCTGAATTAGGTTGCGCTGAGCTATCACTAGGAACAAACATCGAAATAGATAGATTTCTATCTAACACTTCATCGTCATACTCATACAATGACCTTTTAGAACTTCTACTATATTCACCACTATTATGCTGAGAATTCTTTTCTCGCAAGATAGATTCAAGAGTCATGTCATTGTCTTTAACTTCACCATCAACAAACATAGTAGCGCTCCACACCAATTTTGAAATAAAACTCAATATTGATTCATATTGACGTTTTATAGAAACTTCATTATTATTAGTCTTTAGCGGAAATATATCATCTAATTCATAATAGCAATCCAATTGGAACCAATCTGGATTTTGAGCCTGCGGTATGAATTTCCAATCAATGTTAGAGAGTTTTATATCTAGTTTAAACTCTTGATCGATATTAATACTTTTACATAAATAGGTCTTTGAAGTTGTATGGAAATGTAAAACTAACTTTTCGAAAGAATTTTGGTCTGGCAAAGCATACAAATATTTATTATCTTTCAAAACCTTGTATATTTGCGTTAACATTGATCGAACTTTTATCATTTGTATAGTATTCTCGAACAGACCTTCTGGCGACACAATAAATATACCTAAAACAAACATCCCACCTGGTAACATCCTTGTTGTATAGAGAGCATGATTTGCAACCCAGTTATCTGATATGTGCGTCAAACACTTATTAGAGTTTTTCTTCTTATGCGAAACCGCGCTAGTTTTGATAGATTCAGTTTCATCGATTCCTTCATTTGCTACCTTAATTTCCGGTGTACGAGCCAAATGAATTATTAAGTCTTTATTTTGAGTTGGTTGGCCGGAAATAAGTCCCACAATAAAGTCATCATTATTTTGACTCAGGTTTTGCAAATAATGTAACAAACATTCCTCGGCTTCTGCTAGTCTGCCCATTTTCATTAGCAATCCGATTAGAATATAGCTCAAATAACTAAAACAAATATAATATGCATTGTTATATATTTATGAAGATAGTTTCAATAAATATTATATTACACTATGATAACATGACTGGCATTTGTTTTGTTTTGGTTTTGCTACTTTATCATTTCATACGTTGTTTAGCAAAGTAGGCTAAAATCAATCTGGGCATTTGTTAAATTCTGCCTTATTCAATTTTAAATCTATTTATATTTATATGATAATGGTCAAACATGTAGCTCAGTACTTACTTATAAAAAAAAACAAAAATCGTCTGATTTTTACTTTTATTAAAAATGTCGCGCAATAAAAATTGAAATAGTTTGTTTATAATAGAATTACAAATCTTTATTGGTAAATTTTATCACTTTTAAATGTTAGTATTATATTTATTTATAAAATATTTTTAGTAAGAGTAAGCATTAGATGAAAATCGACATGGAAATATTTCACCATTAGCTTTCAGTTTAAATAATCGCCGTGAAACGCACGAAAATACGATCACAAGTAAGTTTGTTCGAATTAACAAGCAACAACCTGGAAAACAATAAAACTATATCCTGCATAAAAATCCGGACTCTGAAAGTTTTAGCTCTTAATATTGTCTTTTAGATAGAGCGCAATTCAATCAAATATTTGTATGAAAATAGCATGAAAAATTTTTCAAAAATTTTGCACGAATTTTCACTTTTAATTCATTTGTAGCTAATTTTAAGTTATACCTAAAAAAATTTGTAAATCAGTTTTTGAGAGAAAGAAACGTCCAATTTAAATGATCCAAAAAACATTTTAATTGTATTGGCAAAATGAAGAAGAATGATTTTTTGGGAAGACACATCTAGCGGTTTCAAAAATCTAATAAAAAACGTAACAATTGGCGGTCACAAATGATCATTAGACATATGCATAACAAATTATATGATATTTTTTAAATTTTTAATTTTAATAATAAGTATAAATTTTAATTACATCTCTATGGGTTCCTTACCAAGATTCATAATGTTTAACCGATAGACTGCAATGTGGCGCTTACACGCTTCAATATTTCATCACTAAAACAGCTACGCTGTTTTGAAAAAAATTTAAAATTTTCAAAATATAAAAACAAACTTATTTATTCAAATTTGTCAAAAAAAGTCCAATTTTTTTCAAAAATTTCAAAATTTTCAAAGTTAAAAAAAAAATTAAATACAATATGGGAAGATTTAGCAATTTGCACGATGCCATCCAACGTGATGTAAAATAACATTAATAAAGAGGTTTCAAAATACAAAATATTTTGTATTTCGATTACTCACAAACAAAAAATTTCATCATACTTCGCTTAGTCTACATACAAATAATTTAGTTAAATCTTCGAATAATACGATATATCAGAGCTTTATTACTTAACAAAATAACAAAAATTTCTCAATGGCTGCCCCGGTAAGTAAAAATATTTGCAGAATGTAAAACCGACATGGCTAAGTATATGTAGTCTTAAATCAGACCTCAAAAAGATCAAATACATTTTGATAACCGTATAAACGTTTTCTATTTAATTACACTTTAAAACCCTTTTTTACTAGAAAGTGTATCAAAACACGCCTGCAATTCAATCATAAATTTTTCGCAAGGTCGTATGTGTGAACGTCGTTTTGCCGAACTTAATTTGCTCCAATAATGCTTTCACAGCAGTTTATGACATTTTTCTGTCATATAATAAAAATATCTTTTATATCTCCAGCCCCTGACATTTCTGTTGTCAACCATAAAGTTATTCGAATAAATAATTCTTTCTTAGTTTATATAGTTTATAATTTCTTAGTTATGTAAAGTTTGTTCCTCTCATTATGATGTACAAATCATAATATGCTTCTTTATTTTAATAAAAAAATTAAAATAAATGCATGATTACAAATTAATCACTCACTTTATCACCATATATTGCAAAAAAAAATAGTGAACTTGGAAAGTTTCATTTTTCATTGCTTTTTCCTGCCAGTACTTAAAACTACAAGTTATATAAAGGACTTTATTGACAAAATATCAGCTTCCAAATACACATGATGTTGATAGTATAATAATATTCATGAAAACAGTATAACTTATACCATTTGTTTCCTATTTCTTATTCTTATACTATATGAGAAGAAATAAATCCATGAAATTGGGCAGTTTGGAATAGAAATTTAAGTTCTTTTGGAGAACGAAAACTGATATATATATATATATATATATATATATATATACATTTTCAATAATGCCAAAATCATTAGAAAGATTCAAAATATATAAAATAAAAACAAAAGTTTTACTCACATCGAAAAAATTTAAAAGTATAATACAGAGATTTTTTTTAACAACAGCAATTTTATATAAATATTACTTAAAAAAATAATACTTAAAAAAATTATGTTTCCATAAAAGCAAACGTTTGTAAAGCGTATGATCTCGATTCTAAAATACATATGACATATAATTTTCGCTTGAAATTAATTTATTTATTTATTAATATTCATGTTATGAGTTAAAAAAAAAGCTTTTGTAAATTTATTATTCATAATTTATTTTACGTTATTATTAAACAAATTTATTCTGAATGTAAACATCGGTGAATGCCTCAGCTCATTATAAATTTTATTATTCATACAATTTTTCTTATCCTCTGATGAATAGACAAAAATAAAAGTAGTTAAAAAATATTCATATTATTAAGATATAGTTCATCACTTCAATGATATTAATATTATGAAACTGGCACTAACCGACAGCCTTTCTAACGGAAAGTCTGTTGCCGTGTGAGTTTTCGGGCAGAAGACGATGTACTGACAATTGACTCTCGTGATATGGCCTCTTAATAATGTACGAGCATTAGATGGACAAATGAGACAAAACGAAACAACGGAGCACAGGAGTCGATGAGGCGTAAGATACGAGTATTTGATAATGTCGATGTATTCTTCTCTTCGATAATTCGAAGCCATAAAAATAGTACTCGAGAACATATGAATATTTGGGCAGTTCTGAATGTAAAATTGTATCCTTAAAATGGTTACAATTATGTCGTGGCACTTTGATTTTTTTATTTTATGTGCAATAATTCAATGATTAAATGCATTGTATTATTAAGCGCTTCGAAATATTTCATAAAACAAACGCAAAAAACATGTTTAACTAGTTTAACTTATTATAGACTGAGAGCCAGTGAACCTTTTGAATAACGGTGTTCCTGTAAGGCTGAAAATTTTTGTACAGGTGATTCTTAACGTGCTAAGTACGGAAACGACGGTCTGGCAGGTTTTAGCCCTGCACATCATGGTCGTCCAGGCGTTTGAAAGTGTAAAAAATACCCGAAAATTAAACTTGTTCCTGTAAGGTTCAAATTTTTATACGATGTAATTCACTCATTGAGAAGTTCGAAAATCAATCTGCCAGACCATTTCGACCTGCACAAGTACCTGCCAGACGAGCCGGAAAGTGAGCAAAAAATGCCCCAAAATAAACTTTGTCCTGTAAAGCTGGAATTTACATATGTGTTTATCTAAGCAATTCGAAAAAGGTCTGTGCAATTGCCAGACCATTCTGGCTAGCATAAGCCCTTGCCAGACGAGGGCAAAAATGCTATGGCGGGAGGACGAGTAATAGGCGTTGCGTGAAAACTTAGCATATATTCAAACGATATTATGAGAAATTACAATTTATATAAAATATTACAAATTTAAAAAAGTCTGTGCTATTGCCAGACCATTCTGGCTGGCATAAGCCCTTGCCAGACGAGGGCAAAAATGCTATGGCGGGAGGGCGAGTAATAGGCGTTGCGTGAAAACTTAGCATATATTCAAACTATATTATAAGAAATTACAAATTATGGTCAAAATAAATTTAATTAGTTACAATGAAATATATATCATCATGAATTAATCATCATTATCAGATATATCGCTAATTAATACTTCAATTCAGGCTTCTATTGAGTAGCTATTGAATTTTATGAAAGTAGGTGTAAATTGGAAAAAAACATTCATTTCTGAATGTTCAACGGAGGGTAAGAGATTTGAAGAAAAAATTTCACAGGTAAAAATTATGAATTTCTTCTTCAAAAAAAAAGAAGAAACCTATTAAAGCTAATAATATAATTCACGAAATTCGTGTCCAACGTGATTTGGTTGGTCGCCTATTAGCGCGATAAATCCAATAAAATATTGATCTTGAAAAAATATTATCATATCCCATTACAATTGTTAGCTTCCCGAAAAAGTTTGTTTTCATCGAAAAATCTGATTCGTTAATTTTATGTTTTCTCGACGTTTCAAGCCATTCTGAATCGAATGAGACCAAATTTGGAAAAAGTATGTATTTGTAAACAGATTTTTTTCCGTAAGTAAATCGACGTTTTCTCAAAAACGACTGGACCGATTTAAAAATTCATCAAAACTTGCAAAAAATAATATCGCTTTTTTTGGCATTTATCAAAATTAGACCTTTTATCGACGTTTGCTCAAAAACGCCTGAACCCATTTCAGAAATTCAAAAGCCATTTGATGTACCTCGATGAGGACTATCGTTTGTCTGTTTAGTGCGACGATCTGCCGTTTCTTTGTAATTTGGAGAAATTGTTAAACTTTTCGTCCACATTTAAGCTCATATCACCGAATTGATTTTAAAAAATCAAAAAACTGTTCGAAAGATATTAGTTGGGAATGATACTGATTAAATTTAGGTGAAAATCTACCAAGCCGTTTTCTTGTAATTAACTGTTGAAAACAAAATTTAAGCCGATTTTCATGGAATTTTTTTGGGGGATATATATATCATGGTCTTATAGAATTTAGTGAGATATTACCGCATTACGACAAGTAGTTTAATTTTAAAAATTCATCAAAGTTTGAGAAAATAAGTAGTTAATTTCACATTTGTTAAAATTAAACTTAGACAATTTACTTGGTATAACGCCAGAGTACTTCGTCTTAATGAACATACTGAACCATTGAAATCTTACGAAAACTGGTTCTTTGCTTTTAGAAAATA